ATCCAATCATTATCACATAGGGATGAAATCACAGAGTTCACACAGTCATGCACAGACTCACCAATCATGAAAACATCACCCAGATTGTCAACAACAACATTAGCCTGTTCATTATTCTTATCCTTTTTAGGTTCAGTACATTCATTTGCATAATGACCAGGTTTACCACAGTTATAACATTTTCTGCCTTTGATCTTGTTCTTACTCCACTCTTTGCCCTTTTTAGGTTTTTGAAAAGACTGATTTTGGTTGTTATTACTGGAAGAGGCCTTGTGTTGAAACTTGAATTTAGGCTTTCCTTTCACAAAGTTAACATCACCAAAAGATTTGTGACCCTTATTGGTTCTTAAATCCAGTTCTTTGCTTTTCAAACCATTTATGACAGTGTCAAGAGTAACCTGATCTCTACCATACTTAATAGCAGATTTTACATCACTATAAGTGTCAGGAATTGCATTTAAAAGCACAATAGGAGTATAATCATCAATGTTTTTATCTCCAGTTAATTTAATGTCCTGAACTAGCTTTGTAAAAATATCCAGATTCTCATCTATATCTTTACTCAAATCCAGTTTAAATCTGAAAAACTTTTCAAGTAAAAACATTTTTGAGGGCAAAGAGGTTTCAGTGTACAGATCTTGCAGTTTTTCCCATAAAGCTTTAGCATCATCTTGCTTTCCTAATTTTCTAATCACAGAATCACTCAAATTCAAGATCATCAAAGAGTAAGCAAGTTCATCAAATTCAGCTTTCTTAGCAGCAGGTGTGGTATCTTCATAGTTTAGAGTAATAGCTTTAAAACATTTTTGCTGAACTAAAACACCTTTCATTTTCTGTTGCCATATAGAAAAGTCACCTCTCCCATCAAAAGGAGCAAGAGGATATGCATTCATGATTCACACAGATGAAAGGCACAGAATCACAAGAAATCACACAGAATCACACAGAAATCACACAGAATCACACAGAAATTACAGAGTAACACACTAGATAATCAGATTGCCCCCCCCCTTTCCAGATTCCTGCGACACTAGGTGGTCCGGACAAGAAAGGGTTTGCTGAGAGCAATCCTAAGCTACACTAACAGTAGGAATAATTGCGGAAAAGATAAACCACATAGAGAGCTGGAAAATAAATCAAGTATGAGCACATCTGCCACACAGGGCCAAGTAGTGCCACACAGGGCCTCCACGCCACACAGGGCCAACTCAATGCCACACAGGGCTCCCAACCTCCACAGGAATAAACCAGGAAACGAAAAACTAGGGTTTCAGAGTGACTTACCTTATCAGAACCCAGTTAGGTTCTGTAAGCCTTCTTCAAGCAGATCTTCGAGCAACCAAGCTCTGATACCACTGTAGGAATTCTACCCGAAGAAAGCTTACAATATGAAACACTCAAAATAGATGTTAGTAAAATCACAAGATAAATAAATATGAATGTATGAAAACAGAAGTATGAGATTGAAGACAGCTCAGTCTTCCAAACCAATTCACACACACAGATCCACAAAGGTATCCACTGTTACACACACACACACAGTCTAGGATTGCACCATACTCAGAACCAATCCTCTCTCTGCACTCAAACCCCTTAAACCACCCAGATTATCAGTAAGACCACGAAGAAGATGCACTCAGCTTCTTACCCACTCACCACAGACCCAACTCACAGAAGAAGAAGGCAAGGTGTTTGAATTTAGGGTTTCAATCTAGGTCTTACCCTCTGCCACACATCTCTCCGCATTAAATAGGGACTCCAGTCAAAAGGAGCCGTTGAAGAGACAACCACTGGGACAAGCACGGCCAAGGACGGCGGCGAATGGCCCATGGTTGCTGGAGCAAAAGAAGAAAGAAGCAGAGGGGGACCAAAGGAGAGAGCAGATATTGTCTAGGGCACAAAACGGGAAAGGGGGTACAAGGGAGAGGAAAGGTCAGCTATAGTGAACGGCTGAGATCACACCAGAACCAACGGTTCAGATCTAAGCCTTCTAGCACATTCCCACTAATGGGCTGGAATTAGTCTGGATGGGCCTTTCCGAATAGACAAGTGTGTGTGTGTGGTGGAAATTGGGCTATAGGCCCAAGACACATTTGGGCCACAACCACAACAATTCAGACGCGGAATTTCTTTAAACTCGAACATGCCATTAAACGTTATCTCAATATTTTCAGAAAAATGCTAAGAACACTCACAAATATATATTTATATCATTTTCCCCCCTTTTTAATTTTTTTTGGCAGACAAAAACCAAACGCCGTACATAAATAAAAAATAAAAAATAAAAAAAAATTAATCATCAAGTATAGAAACTAACAGCTTCAAGAAGAGAAACAAAACCCAAAACCCAAAAATCATTGTCCACAGAAAAGTTGCAGGAAAAAAAAAACATTTGCTCAAAAATTCAACCTTGAGCTTATTTTAGATGACGTCATACTCATACCTCAAAAAAAAAAAAATTAAAAAATAAATAAATAAAAATACTCTGCATAGAAAAATGAAAGAGATGAATATTTAACTGGGTTTCATGTGGGAACCCCAGATTCTACACATATCCCAAGTGCTATTATTTTTATTTTTGCAAATAATATAATGAGAAAAAAGGGACAGAAAGAAATATACCTTTGATTCGTCAAAGGTTGATGGATGAAGGGTTTTCTTGCAAGGAAAGGAAGCAAGAAAATTTTCAGGTAAGGAAATGGTGAAAAGGGTGAAATGTAAAGAAGATGATTTAACTACTGCAAGTGATAAAAGGCACTTCTTTAAAATAAATAAATTTAAAAAAATTAAAAAAAGGAAAAGGAAGGAATAAATCCTATTTATTTAATTAAGTATGATATAAAACTTCATTTGAATTGTTATATTCTAAAACGGCAATTTTTTTAAATAATAATAATAATAATAATAATAATAATAATAATAATAATAATAATAATAATAATAATAATAATAATAACGGAAAATCTAGCACATTTCATTATATATTTTATTAGGTAAATTACAGCTATCCTCGGGTGATGTTAAATTATAAAAATGCCTTCTGTTGTTTGGGTAATTATAACCACCCATTTAACTATGAATCTTCTTACACGTTCACAATTGTGGTGTCAAATTTAGTGGAAATCTTTCAGATTATGTGGAATATTCTCCAGTTTGTATCCTTTTTACCCTATTGGAGCTCCATATTTTGAAACAAGATGATCATAAGATGTGTCTCTTGACTTTTAACTATCAGATTGTGGTGCATGCATTAAAAAATTGCGTTTTTTTCACAGAACGAGTACAAAGTAGAGAACATTTCACGGAACTTAGAAGATTCCGCTGAATTTGAGATGATAAGAATGAATAATTATATGCAAGTAGATTCATAGTTGAAGATTAATTATAATTAACCAAAAAATAGGGATTTTTTCGTAATTTATCGTTACCTCACGGTTGGTCGTAATTTACCTTATTTATTTTACAGTCACACTTCATTGGCCTTAAAAAGATTTAGTATCAATTTTGAATAAGTAAATTTGAAAGGTGTTTGGATAAGATTTGAATAAATAAATTGGCGTACATAAATAAAAGAGAAGGCAAAAGGTCAATTTCAGGACTAATGTTTGCGTATGTGGCACAGGCCTTCTTTTCCATTATTTATTTGTTTCAATATCAATTTAGGAAACTGTGCACTGTGCTCCAACAATATATACACATTATATACATAATACATGTTTCAATATGTGCAGCATTATAATATTAAGGGTAAATTACGAAAAAAACCCCTGAACTTAAGGTAAATAACGAAAAACACTCGCACATATCCGTAACTACCAAAATCCCCCTTTGACTAACTGCTGACCAAGTTTTTTAACAGAAAATGTGTATGGTCTATTATATCTTCCGTTAAATATGTGAGAAATAAAAGAAGGTATCCGAAATTGTGTAAGTCGTTTCCTTGAAATAAAAAAAGATTTCATAAAAAATTACACTGTAGGGGGTTGGTGTAAGACGGAACAAATATTAGGGGATTTTTGGTAATTACGAATAGGTGGAGGTGATTTTCATAATTTAATATAAGTTCAGGGGATATTAAATGAAACTTGTAATTGTTATACTATTTTCAGCTCTAAATTTAATATTTTCTTCATTTTAATGAGTCGATAAAAAGAGCATATCCATTTTGATGTCTCAAATTTATGGGTTCAAATTTCAAATATAAAATGCATAATTGACGTCTCGGAACGATGACCTAGCGATTGAAGCAAGTGAACTTCTATTAATTGACTCAACTTTGAAATTATTTGCCAATAGTTGTTAGTCCGACCTTGTCACATATTGATTGCCTAGTGTAACGAAATTATATATCTCGTAACGAAATTATATATTTATCCAATGCACATATATGGTTGGTTGTGAGTCATTTCATTACACCAAAATAAAATAAAAAATGCATAATTCACCTAGCAGCCCACTTAACATATGGATATCTAAAAAAGCCCACCCAAAATATATGTTGTTTTTTTCTTTGGCAATGATATGAAGGGTCGATCGAATTTAGTATTTACGGAAAAATTCTGATTTTTCTCGAAAATGAAAAACTAATTCCAATTCGGTTCCAGGAAAAAAATCGACAAAATTGAAAAAAAAATTAGTTCCTAAATGAGAAATTTCAGATCGGAATAGACGGGATTCGGAGATTTTCTAAATCAACCAATATATAAAATGCATAATACTATTTAATAAAAAATATAAGTGTAATATCCGAAAACATCGGAATTTTCAAAACTATTTCCGAAAATTTAAAATCGGATCAGTTACAGAATCTCGTATATATTCCAAACCCGATCCAAATAAATTCGGAAAAAAACAGAACCGGAGTATTCAGAATTCGGAATGAAAAATAGTACAAAAATCAGAAAAATCTGGATTAAATTCAGCAGAAATCGAAAATTTTGTTCCGATTTCCACCCTAGAAATGTCACATAAATTTCAATGCATACATCAAACAAGATATGGTGCACAAAAAAAACAAACAAGAATATTTGCAGCTCAAGTTTCATTAAAGGATTTCAATAACTTATTTGCCTCCTTCAAAAAGATTTATATATATATAACAAACAGAATAAATAACATGCCTGAAAAAGCCAACATGATACATGTTATTAAAAAAAAAAAATCATGAACCTTAACTTATATAAATTTCATGTCCTAGATTTCTTTTTTTTTTTTTTTTTTTTTTTTTTTTATCTTTTTTATACACACTAATTTAATTGGACTACTGTATATTTTTCGGTCGAAGAAGCGGACTACGAGAATGAAAAATCGCAGCAGCAATTGCGAAAGACTGCAAACTCGAGAGAGTCGATTGGAAGTGGATATAGTACAAACCCTCGTGTATCTTCACCATCTTCAACATTGCCACATCTTCTTCTTTTGAACCCTGTTTTTTAAATTAAAAATAAAAAAAATAAAAAAAAAATTAATAACAAAGGGGTACTAGGAATAGGGGTTTATTGCATTAGGTACCCCTTCTGTTTTCTCGTGTGCTAAATATTTATAGTACGGGGAGTTTTTTAGTAATTTGATACAACACAGGGGTACTAAATGCAATAAACTCATTAAAATTATATACTTTTGGTGTTTGCATACAATTTTTTTTACGAGTACTATGAATAATAAGATCATTCGAAAATCTGCAAACCTGAATACCGAGATCAATCGACTTGCATTTTTTTTTTAAATTTAAAATTTAAAAAGAAAAGAACAAAGGGAAAATAGAATATGGGTTTATTGCATTAGGTACCCCTGTGTTTTTTCTAATTGTTAAAAAACTCTCCATGTTATTTTGTTAGCAAAAAAATCGTATGATTCATTTTTTTTAGCAAATTACCCCCTTTTTAGGGGGCTATCTGCTAATAAATGCACTATAAAGGGGTTTTTTGCCAATATCTATACTACAAGGAGGTTTTTAACAATTCGATACAGGGGGTACAAAATGCAATAAACGCATAACAAAATTTGACAAGTAGTATGAAGAATAAGATCATTCGAAAATCTACAAACCTGAATAAAGAGATCAATTGATTTGCATTCCTCCGAACTATCAGCAGAAAACGAAGAATCTGTACTGCTCGATTTTGTTTTGAGAATTGTTAGTGGGCAGCCGATATCCCATCCACCACAATCGCATTGCCCACCGGAAATCCACCTCTCGGTAAGGCTCGAGGGGCCAGCGGCCCCCCTTGCTCGGGGCCCACCGTGAAGTCCTGCAGGTATTAAAACATCCATGCTCGTCGAGCATTCGCCCTTACTTCTAGAACATTCCGGAAGCCCACGTGCGGATGCTTCTAAAGACGCATTTGCCCCTGTTTTTTTCAAGAATTTCAACCCCCATCCTCCGATTTCAGGATTCTTGCGTACGTCCTTCACAATTACCGCGGCCAATTCAAGATTCGGCGAAGAATATTCTCTCTGTTCATCGGCAGTGTTGTTGTTGTCCTCGTTTCCGGAAGGTTCCCATGGAGAATCTTCTAGAATAGCACTCGATCCCGTAAACTTCGAAGAGGGTCTTTTTTTGTAATTTGACCTAAAAACATTTGCCACCTTTCTTGTCAATAATCTCTTGTTCTTCTTTAGGGCAAGATTCGAATTTTGCAGCTGATCTTTCGTGGGATTTTCGTCGCTCGAAAGAGACAGAACAAAATTCGTCTCTCTCACTTCCATATTATTCGAACACAACGTGATCGAAGTGGACACTCTCATTGTGCCAAGATTTTCCGACTCGAGTTCTTGAATTTCGTGTTCTTTCTTTCTCGAATGGAAAGTGTAGACGTAATCAAAAATTTTATCGCCCGACGGCTCCAAATTCGCCACATAGGATTCCCGTTTATCGTCCACGCTGAAAACATGATGCGGCAGCCCGTCTCTCCACGTGCACTGCATCATTGCTTGGTACGAGGTATTAGATGCCGAGGAAGACGACTTGTCTGAAAAACTCGAGTTTGTGCTCGATATCGAGGCAGCCCTTTTATGCTGCCCGGGTGCAGAATTCTTACGAGAATAAATGGGCTCGAAGAAATCTACGGGGCGAGTCTGTTGGAGTAAAGGGCTATTCAATATGTTCATCATGCTCTGGCTAGAGGTAACGCTGCCTATAGTTAACCTAGCCAAGTCATCACTCGAATTCGGACATTCGATAGCTAACCTAGTCATGTCACCTTCGGCTAAAACGCTGACATCATTTGATAAAACGTGCACTTTTGACGCGAAATCTTGAGCGGCCGCTCTTAGTGCGCAGTTACGTATCAGCTGAAGGCAGTGGAGAATGTACTTTTCGTCTACGGTTGTGATATGCTTCGGGATTGTACTATGAAGACTGTGGATATTGTTACGAAGGTACAACTCTTGGCAATTGTTTGGTGTTCGAGTTTCTTGTTCGGATTGTAAATCGGGTGTGTTTTCTTCCTCTCTTACGTCTTTTGTCAAGTTCATACTTGTACTCACTCTCGATTTTTCGCCTTTGATGGAGAAGAGTTTCGTTAATGGCAGAATCGGAGCTGCTTCTTATCACCTTCTGTTACTCCGAACAAATCTAGAAAATGAATGGAATATATATATAAAGTTAGTACAAATTCGTACGAAAAGCGAATTAGAAGTAAACTGAATCATCTTTGCATTGGAAAAGGTACTAAAGAACAACGAAATTCTTTGAGTCGAGTGAGAAAAACGTTCACTTGAAACATTAATTAGTAAGAATCAAGGAAAGTGGTGGAGCCAGCATTCGGCTAGGGGGGCCATGGCCCCTCGCCACATCTTGAAAACATGGTATTTTACGACAAGATTTGTTCTTTTGCGAATAGTTCAGTACTGCCGGCCCCTCCTTTAAAGAGAAAAAATCCGAATAACGAGAAGCTCGACCGGAGAATACTAACAAAGCAATCATAAATAGAATGCAATCTTAACCGAAAAAAATATCCACGGATACGAAACTTCGACAAATAAGTAAAAACATGAAATGATTTCTTAATCATCATTGCAACATAGAAGGGCCGTTAAGATTAATTAATTACAAGTTTCCCAATCCACTATTCTTGTCTGAATATCGAAATAGCCGACTAGCCAGTGTATAATCATCGTAAAGAAACGAAACACAGAAGAAGAAAAACGAAAAAAAAAAATTGTCAGTTAGATTATTACAGCATAAAAGATGAAACATAGTCGACAACAAAATTAACAATATTTTCGCAACATTCGGAATCACAAAAGCGGAAAGCCATTAACCTTGTTTTTTTCCGACGAACTAGAATAGCCTCCGAGATTAATTAGACACAAGAAATCAGATTAAAATTCAATTGCAAAATCCACAAAATCAGATTGTCTGATTGCATAAAGAAGTGGGCTCTAACCTTAAAACACAAACAAACAATTTAATCCAAGATTTGAAGCAACACCTCTTCTTGATTTCATCTGCAAACCCCCATCAAAGAAAAAGACCCTCCAAATTTCAGTTCTAAGTCATACCATAAATCATCAAGAAAAATCAACCACACCAAAATAAATACATATATATATACATACACATATACATACAGAAACAAGAACACATGGGGTTGGGAAAAAACCACTTTACCAACTTTCAAAAGGATGATAAAAATTCAATCTTTTTTTCACCGACCCACCACTCCAATCTTATCAAAATAACTGATTTTGCAAAAAAGCTTAAACAAAAGTAGCAAAATTTGAAAAAAGAAAGAAACCCCACATGAATAAATACAAGCATATATACATACATGATACATACACAGAGAAATGGGGGAAAAACTGTATAATTACCAAAAATTGCATGGTGGGCCCCACGCGTAGCAAGAAAATCTTGTATTTTCATGGTCTAATCAGACATCTGACCCCCCATTCCCGCGAACACACAGATTGTAATATACACCTTAGGTCTTCAAAAAAAAAAAAAGACTGGTGATTTGTGTGTATGTATAGGAGGTGAGAGAAAGTGTAGAGAGAGAAAAAAGTGTAGATTAGCTGGAATGCACGATGGAGTAGCAAAAGGCAAGTGCATATGAACAGAGAGACAGATCAGCCATTAAAATAAAAGGGGGGAAGACCAAAACCCAAAGGCAAAGTGGACCATTGTCTTCTTTCTCAAACATGTGACATTTTCTTTATAATCTATGTGTGGATATGCATTTTGTACTTATAATAAAGATTGAATTTTTATTTTATTTTTTTATTTTATTTTTAATGTTTGATTTGTGTAGTTTTCGGTTATTTGTAGGACACAAGAACATTAATGTTGGAAGTGTTATGTTTTTGTTGTGGCATTGGGATTTAATGTGATGATGAGGGGTGATATTTAATGGGCACACCCCTTTTTTATTCACTTTTTTTTTTTCAAAATTGGAGTGGGTAGTATTGATGTTTGTCATGTTTAGTAGATTTAGTGGTGGCATTTTGTTTGAAAAAGCAAAATCTCTCGTCTTCAGGGCCTCGGTTTCCTGACTCGACAGGTTTTTGATCGAGTAATGTAAATTACGGTGATTCAACGGTCTGTAACGATAGTAGAACCAACTCATTTCGTTGAAGTTGAAATTCCAAGATTGCAGCTAACGATACTCGATCTTAGTGGTGGCATTTTGTATTTTGTTGGTTTGGGGTTTCGACTTTTATATAGTGGAATATTGATAATTAATGGTCGATAAATTAATAATTTTGTTTAAATAATAATTTTTATATGTCTCGAGTTGGTGATATTATGCTATATTATTAATTAGATGATTTAATATTCGACTTAATTAATTGAATTTACTGGCCTCAACTGTATTGATTTATAGAGATTTAACCGTATTTGAGTAAATAAATTTTGTAGTTTTGTTTGGTATTGGATAAAAGGGTATTGTAGGTGTTATTATGGCCATGGATGAAATACCAATCACATACGTATGTGGTCAAATTCAAAATTCTGAATTCTGTCGATTCTATTCCAATTTTTCGATATTGATTTAATGTTTTCATTTTTAAGATTCGAAAGTTTTGAGTTTCGACATTTTTTATTGAAATTAGAATATATATATAAATGAGCTTCCAACTGCATTTAAATTTCTAAAAATAATTCAAAAAAAAATATTCCGTAAATTACACTTATAATATGTGATTTATATTATAACATATGCTTATATATTGCTGGAGCAAACATTTTATCTTAATGATGAAAAATATACACTACAAAATTATACTATAGTCCTCAAAAAGATTTAAATATTATACTCTTAAAAGATGACACATCTTTGTATGAAATACTATGATTTATTTATTTTATTTTATTTGAGTGGGGGTGGGGGTGGGGTGTTGTAAAATGAAATATTTGGGGATACTTGTAATAAAATGAAATGTTCAATTTAATGGAAATAAAAATTGCATAACATGGGGCCATAAGTATGAAGTCTAATATACATCCCTAGCCATAATAATTGATGGTAGTTACATTATTTTATTTTTATTTTATTATTATATTTTTTATTTTATTTATTTTATTTTATTTTATTTTGTGGTATGGGAATCAGATACCAATTTCTCAAATTAAATTGATTCGTTACAGTTGTCTTGAAATCTATTAATACCTACCTTTTTTTTATAGTGATGGAGATAATAAATTTGAATGAGAGTGATATTGAATGTATAGTATTTATTTAATTATTTATTTATAAAGACATGCATATTTATATCTGGTGAGCAAAGGAACACATGACAATAATAATTAATACATATATAATTATGGTTATTCACGATTCACCTTTACCCAATAATCTATTAATTTTTATCCATAAAAAAATACAACATGCAATATGATACAAATCCAATTGTTTAAAGGTTCATATTTAATTAAAAGTCCTATACAAAGCCCAACGGCGGCATAAGTCCAAGGTCGTCTTGCCTGCTACAACTGTCAAAACCTATTAAATAACCCCACAAACGACATGTGCAAGCAATTGATATGACCACCTTCGACTCAATGTTAGAAACAATGGGAAAAACCAGCACAATGACATTGACTGAAAAAAGGCAAACCAACCAACAACAAGCTCACCTACGCCAGTTAGAGCAACCACGAAGCGACTCAGGTCGTAGAGAGAGGAAACATATCGCCTTCAGTAGATAAAGTGAGCTCGCACCAAGTCATATTACCCTGCACACGCATCGTAGCTTGATAAGACATGGGTTCCACCAGACTCGTCCTCGTGACATGCATGAATACAATCGTGGAATACAAGGAAATGCATGTTTATCTTCATATATTACATTCAATACATCTCTAACAAATATATCGTTTTCGACTTTACCCAATTGAATTAACCGTCGGAGTGTTAACGCCGAGAAAACCTTCTCATACACTCTTTTTTTGGCAGATGGGCTCTTTCTCGATCGGGTTGTCCTTCGTCTTGGACTTCTCTTTGCCCCCCCAAAGCCCATTGCGTTTTATTATTGTTGTTAGGGGCATTTAAACTTAATCACAATCTACCATGAGCTATTAGAATTGAGACAATAATATCAAACAACCATGTATAATTAAATTTGTTGGTGAATAATACTTACTTAGCCTCTATTCTATCTCCTTAATTATGACATTTTTTTCTACATTTGGGATTCAAATTTTGAATAGTTTTATCATATGGTTATGAATTATTAATATTGGAAAGTACAATGATGTAGAGCAAGAATTATTAATTTGTTGTTGGGGGAGCTGCATAATTGGAACTTATTTTAATTTGGTCATGTTAGTTTCATTGCACGATTAATGGTTTATTGCGTTTTATCTGTAATTCCACTTTGATAGTGATGATCACTATATACACTATATATGTACTTATCCATATCTCACTACATTCATTACTTAGATCTCTTGGATGGTAAATTGAAATGGAACTTATGAATCATATATTATATATATATATATATATATATATATATATATATATATATATATATATATATATATATATATATATATATATATATATATATATATAAACAAATATTTTCACCTTGAATAACAAAAGTATAGATTTTTTTTCCTTATATAGTATTTGTAATACATAAGAAAATTCCCTCTCTCGATCTAATTCCAATTTCCAAATATTACATTCTTTTTCTAAAAAAATACTCTTATAAGATATAACCATTACATGTGAAGAACAATATTAAGTCTTACTCTTGGAGTGTATATACAAAATTGCAGATATCTTGAAATTACTTAACTCAAGAATATTACTTTTTATGTTTCCATAAAAAAAAAAAGATCTTTTCTTAATATTATGTGTCACTTTAGAAATACAATGGTGCATTACATACATATTTTTTAAATATAGTCATATTAACTTCTTGACTATCTCTCTCATTAATTACTAATTAGTAAGTAAAAGTAGCTTGGTCTAATATTATCAATTTTCCTAAAATCAGATATATTCATTTTTTTTAAGATTAGTGCAAAAATGAAAAAAAAAAACGACATTTATTTAGAAACTGAGGGAGTATATTGTGACAACTGAATATTAGTATTTTTTTTTTTTACATATATTCCTAGTCTATCTTGTTCCTAGTCTATCTTGTTCCCACTTGTTTTTCATTTCACATACTATTATTTTAGTGTTTTTGTCGTATTAGCTTGTCTTAAATGCTTTTTTCTCCTTAAATTCAAAAATTCAAATTTCTGTGAAAGTGGGACCACACAAATCTTAATTAACAATACGTACATGATAATTATATTTAATCAAAAGTCAAATTTTGAAATCTATGGACTAAACTAGAAGACCAATATGTACTAGTAGGCAAAGATGTAGAACAAAATTAAAAATTAAAAACTAAAATTAATAAATGAAATAAATAAATAAATGAAGATGGTTCTTTTCTTTCTCTATCCTTACTTTTCTGTAAAGGATAAAAATAATTGGAAGGAGTTGGATTTTTGGTTCATTCCAAAAATAAGTTGAATGGTCTAATAATTGCAGCTACGTCTAATTATTATTTTTTTACTATTATTTTATTATTTTATTATTATCTTAAATATTTTATTTTAACATTAAAATATGTCAACCATTTGCTGATTTTCAAACATTAGAGCCGTTATTTCTTAATATTTGAAAAGATATACGACTTACGAGAAGATATAGCAAGGAGCAATTTTTTTTTTTTAATATCTAAAGTGGGGAACAACATATACCAATTCATAAAAGATTGATCTGAAAATTTGATTTTCAAAAATCAAATCTTGAAGGGAAATTTATCAATAAAATATAAATGGGAAAATGGGGATTTTAGTTTTATAATTTTGATAGTTGAATTGAGTTACTCTACAACTTTCTTGTGCAGAAAAAAAAGCATAATTATTTTATCTTGAACGCAATTTCGCTTTACAATATCTTTTGTCGATAGAAACTCGCAGTTACATATGTGCACTTGAGTATGCGCTTTACAATTATTCTCCTTGTACTGATGCAAATCATACAAGGAATGTGCCCTTGCAACCACATATGTGCACTAGATAAATTCAACATGCATACATACGATGGAGTCAATTTGACATTTTATTAGCCTCGTGTAAATATTTGACACGAGGGACTAAAAAATATCTGAGTCTTTCATGAGATTTGACCGTAACCCTATTTTATTATAGTTAAGGGACTCAAAATTAAGTCAAATTTCATAAAAGACTCCAGATACAAGTTTATCTTCCACAAAAAAGGTAAGCTTTTATACACGATGTAATCTTACACACACCAAAACACACGATCAAATCATAACATCTTATCGTCTTCTCTACTCGTTTTCTTATTAAATTACTCTTTCTTGAACTGTTTTTCCTAGCCAACTTGAGCGTCAAAGTGTCCACCCGAAGCATTTTTTCTACGATCGATAGTCGGATCGGATGAAGGTGTTCGAGAAGAGCCAATTTTGGTTCGGGTTAAATCGACCTTCATCAATGTGTATTGCGTAAATCGACCTCCACCGTTTGCTTTTTGAAACCCATATATGGGTTTCTATAAATTGTTGTTGTGCATTTAATTTATTTGAGCCCAAGTGAAGCGAGTTGCCCAATTCACAAACGAATACACATTTGGGCTTATGATTTTCCTTCTACCAATAATAATCATATTTGAGGTTATTACATAGTAGCCCTATATTATATTGAATTGCTAAAAAGGTCCCTGTGTTGTTATTAATACCGGCAAAAAGGCCCTATTTTGCATTTTTGTTAGCATGCAACACCTTAAATGGTGAGCTACAAAAGATACGAGGACTTTTAGTTATTAAAAAGAAAACTATTCGCATGTGTATTAACTTTTGTATCGAGGGACTTTCAGCCAATTTTCCCAAAAAAAGAAAGAAAAAATTATAACTTCTATATAAAACTGACATTCAACCGTCCCCGGTCGACTTAATTGCTACGAATACAACGGACTTCTTTTATTTTTTATTTTTATTTTTTTTTACAAATATACATAACTATTAATCTTTTTTTTAACACTATTTTTCATCTGATGAAAAAATTGCCTCCAATCAAATCCAAGATTGGATGGGATAGTTGCATTTAAATGAATTCACACCACTTATGTGTGCTAATATATCTGCTGATTCCATGTCATCTTCTTCTTTCACACCAACCTTAAATGAAAAAACAAAAAGGAAGAAGAATAAATATAAAGACAATGTCAATTAAGGTTTATTGCAATTAGTATCCCTGTATTATATCGAATTGCTAAAAAATTACCACTTGTTATTTTATTAGCAAAAACTCCCCGATGATTCGATTTTTTCAGCACAAAACCCCCTAAACAAGGTACTAATTGCCTCTAAAAAATCATAGTGAGATTTTTGCCAATAAATTAAGGATAAATTACGAAAACCCCCTCAACTTAGGCTAAATAATGAAAAACACCCCCACCTGTCCATAATAACCAAAAACCCCCCTCTGATTTACTGTTGATCGAGTTTTTTTTACAGAAATGTGTACAGTCTATTATACCTTCTGTTAAAATAGATGAAAAATAAAAGAAAATATATGAAATTGTGTAAAGTCTATTACCTGAAATAAAATTAAAAAAAATACGTGAAAAGTCACACTGTAAAGGATTGGTGTAAGATAAAAACAAACATTAGGGGATTTTTGGTAATTACAAATAGGAGAGGGTGTTTTCCACTATTTTCCTAGGTTTAGAGGTTTTTTCGTAATTTACCCATAGATTAAACATAGGATAGTAATTCAGCAATTCCATAACACAGGGAGTACGAATTGCAACAAACTCAAAAATATTATATTGAACAATTTGTATACCTTTCTTTGGTGATCGGAGATTGAATTGGAAAAGAGGCTATCATCATCCACGTCATCATCATGGTTGTGTGTTCTAGAAAGTTCTCCGAGTTCGTCGTTTTTCGCGAACCTTCCTCGAACCCTAGGCCTGCTGTCTGCAAGTGTTTTGCGGCAAGCATACTGCACCTTG